TTCTAGAGAATGTATAAATATGTTTTGGTAATTGTATTTTATATGGAGAAGGCAAACTAATACAGGTGTCTCCTGTCTGAAATTAGTCAACCGAGGTTTTAGCAGTGGGGAGACATAATAGTGAAGAGTGGGAGTCAGATGTGTCTGAGTGTCTATTTGACGCACTTCTTCCAGACGTTTTTGTTGTCCCAGACAGATCTCCTCTTCCTGTCTATCTGCTTCTTAGTTCTTATCACCTCTTTTCTGCTACAAAAGAAAATGAAATCAAATCTTGGTTTATGGGATTTTAAAGATAGCTTTTTCTGTGGGTGGTAGTTTCTTTTCCTTGGAAGATCTGAGTTTGCAGAAAGAGGTATTATTAATGTAAGAAACCTGATAAGCTTCACGAAGACAAGGGTAGGATTGAGGAGATGTCTTATTTCAGTTAAAGTAGATACATTGTTAAAATCTGTTTTTGGAGATTATAATTAATCCTACCTAGCCATTGTCAGCATGCAGTTAGAATTGTCTAATGAAACTACTGTACTTGTTAAATATTTATAATGCAAAAAAACAAGACAGCATATAACTGCATTCAGTCATCTGTAAAGAACTGTACATACATTCACATAATATTTGTTGTACTGTACTGCTATATCAGATACAGAAAGGCCATCAATTCAGGATGTAGGCTTTCTGCATAATTTGTTTACTAAAAGGAAGTTTTCACTTATTCTGTCTTCTGTGAGAGAGTCAACTTTTTAGTCCAGCATGCAGAAGTGTCCTTAATTTTAATTTTTGCCAATTCAATTTTAAGTAATGCAGTCATTAAAAACCAACAAAATAATGTTAAACTGATATTCAGTTGATACTAATCTCAGCTCTTGTACTGCACCACTTTACCCAGTGCTGCACAAGAAAATGTCATTTTATTTCAGCCATAATGCACATATTGAATTCCTCATAATCTACCTGAATGCAAAACCTTAATTCCAGCCTGTATGGTAAAATGTCCCCCACGGGAATACATAATTCTGTAGTCTCTAATGGGAACATATCAAGTGCCGTAGCAGATTACACCAGTGGTCCACTTACTCCAATATTGTGTTTCCAACAATGGGTAGTACCTATGCTAGATGCTTTAGAGCAGGGGAAGGGAACCTCAGGCCTGAGAGCCCCACTTATCTTTTTTGGTGGCCAGCAAGATGGCAAAACCCCAGCCCTGCTGTCCACTCCCTTGGTGGTACGACTACCCCCCAGTGGACACTGTAGGATAGCTGTTCTCTGTGGGTTTGCTGCCCCCAGGAGCCACTCTCATATTGTGTCCCTCAGAACAGCAGCCCCTCCCTTTTCATTTTATGGAAAACAGTCCTTTTCCTGGTGCTTCTGGTTATCCTGGCACATCCAAATGCTGACCTTGCCTTAAGTTAGGATAAGAGGAAGCTACATACCAGATTTGGTGGCCCTAGCTCTTACAGTTTAAGAGGAATTATTGAATAAAGGGACTGACAGATAGACACTCTAAAGTGTCTGTCTATGTCTATATTTAGAGAGATAGATAACGTGTGTGTGTGTATATATATGAGAGAGACACGCACAGTGGAGTTTGTAGGGATTGTAGTTATTTAGCTAAGATTTTAAAACTATTTTTCAAAAAGGGCTCATTTTAAAATCTTTCCTTTACTAAACTTAGTCTTCTGACCAAATAATTATAGAAAATTCAGTCATCCTCTGAAGAATTTGTAGCATTACTTAAATAGTTTAGTTTTGTCTTCCAAATGTATGGCAGCAATTTTAATCCTGATTTAAATGGTAAAAATCAGCACAGCTTTTACCCCTCCACAATTATGACACTTCTGAAGTGTGTTCTTTAGAACTCATAATAAGAATTTAAGAACATAAGAACGGCCATACTGGGTTAGACCAAAGGTCCATCTAGCCCAGTATCCTTTCTGCCAACAGTGGTCAATGCCAGATGCCCCAGAGGGAGGGAACACAACAGGTAATCCTCACGTGATCCCTCTTCTGTCATCAATTTCCAGACAAACAGAGGCTAGGGACACCATTCCTATCTATCCTGGCTAATAGCCATTGATGCAGAGCGGTAACAAGGGTGTGGCAAGTGGGGCACTTGCCCCAGGCGCAGTACATTTAGGGACACAACGTTAAAAATTAGAAAGTTAAAATATTATTTTATTTATATCTTTACTATCATCTATTTGCAGTCTCAATATATGTGCAATGAATAAAACTAATACAAAAAATTAAGAATTTTATCATTTTGGGGGATGGGCGGGGGAGGTGTGGGCGCTGGAGGTGTGCAGTTCAATAGCTTGCCCCAGGCGCAGAAAACCTTAGTTTTGGCTCTGCATGGATAGACCTAACTCCATGAATCTATCTAGCTCCTATAGGTTTAAAAGTCTCAGAGGGATAGCTGTGTTTGTTGTTTTTTAAGTTTTTTTTACTTACAAACTAAGGTCCTGTAAGCACCTTAGAAACTAACAAAAATATATAAATAGTATCATGAGCTTTTGTGGGCACAACCCAGTGTTTAACAGATTTATAGGTCTCAATAGTGATATTGTTTCAAAGCTGAAAATATGTGCATCCTGATGAACCTTATTTCTTCCTTAATTTGTAGTACTCTCCTAATTGTCAGTGTCTTTTTTTAGACCTGCACCAAAATTATTCTTGAAAGCAAAAAGTTCATTTTATTGCCTACCTTTACTCCTCTTTGGAACATCTTTTTGTCTAGTTAAGTAGTCAATACATCCAACTATCAAGCAAATTCATGTGTATCATGTCTAAAGAAAGCACAGCTGCTATTACTATAAGGTAAAACACATTTTTTTTGCAGTGAAATCATGTCTTTGTAATTTGAAAAGAGTTAGCCATTAACATTAATGTTCTACGGTGACACTGAAAGATTTTCCAATAGCAAAGCTCCAAGACAGTGAGCAGTATTCCTGGCTTTAAAAAAAGCTTCAAGATTGAATGGCAATATGTTTACCTAAAGTAGATTGCAGTCAGCAAATTGATTCTCCTTTTCAGGCAGGTAAGGGTTCTATTACAAAAACTGAATCAACCAACCATAAGAATATTTTCATGCTTCCATTAATGGCTGTGGACAGTGGAAAGTAAAATTAGAAGTAGTACAGTGTCTCCCCCTCCCCCCTTCCCATCTTTTCAAGGACGATGGATGTCTTCCAAGTGTGGAGGAGAACAATAAACAGTACCCATTTACAGAAATAGAAAAGATTTTTGCTTTTATCTCTAAAAATAACAAATGGAATCCCAGGATGACTTTCAGTGGCAAAGATTTTCATAATTTACTGAACTCTTCCATATATGGATAGAATTCAGGACCTCAAGGTTCCATGGAGCTTCCATTGCTACTTTCTCCCAAAATTTTATCATCAATTTTGTGAAAGTAATAGAAAAATTAAGATATTTTCTAGGGCTGTCAAGCGATTTAAAAAATTAATCGTGATTAATTGTGCGATTAAAAAAATCACAATTAATTGCACTGTTAAACAATAAGAATACTATATATTTAAATATTTGTGGATGTTTTCTACATCTTCAAATATACTGATTTCAATTTCAACACAGAATACAAAGTGTGTAGTACTGATCCCAGGGTCTGTGCGGCACTGCCCCTTTGAAATGCTGCCCTTTTGAAATGCTGCACGCTGTTTCACGTGCAGCCCAGGATCAGCTGTGCGACGCTGCCCCTTTGAAATGCCGTCATGGCATTTCAAAGGGACAGTGCTGCATGGAGCCCAGCATCAGCTGGGGACTCCAGCTGACCCTGGGCTCCGCAAGGCATTGCCCCTTTGAAATGCCATGATGGCATTTCAAAAGGGCAGCGTCGCACAGCTGATACTGGGCTGCACGCGAAACACCTGCAATTAATGTGTGTGAATTTTTTTATTGCGTTAATTCTGCCCTGCATTAATCACAGGCGTGAACACACATTAATAGGCAGCCCCCTAATATTTTGTTAGAGAAATATTGTCTTGGAGAAATATCTGTGGGACTTGAGTATCCTTTTAAAAATTAGCATTGTACCTCTTTTATTCCATAAGACTTCTGTAATGTTAATACAGTTTTTGAAAATGTCCTTTCCTCATCTATTTGCAGAAAGTCTTCTGGATTTCCCTAGAAATTGTATATTAAGGAGTCTGTATCTCATGAGAATATATAGGAAATACAAAGGCTAAAAAGGCCTCAGAGGACAAAAAAGCCAAAACCTTACTGTCTCATTTCCTTGTCCCATCTCCAAATGAGCTTGATTGAATGCTCATTTAATTAAATAGAAAGATTGTCATTGACTTCATTGGGCTTTGGATCAAGTACCATGATGGGATTCTCTTTGAATAGTTTAGTTCAAGCAGTGACAAATTAATTGCTGTCCCAATGTGAAGATTTCTCATGCATTCTCAAAATGGGAAATCATAACTTCTACTGCAGTAATGACTTAATGCATTCAGTCACGGTATTTCAATTTATAACAGATGCTTTATTTTGTAGCATGATGGTAACTAAATTCTGTTGTTGTATCTCTCCTGGTTATGTCATCTCATGGATTATGCCCTCCTTCTGACATGTTCATGCAGTAACATGGACTGACATGAATGCCGTAACGTGGACTGACATGAATTTTATGAAATGCTATAACTCCCCTTATAGTTTGCTTTGTAAGGATACTATGAAATAGTCACTCAATTCAATATCTTTCTATATTTGAAGAATTTACATTTCCACCTGTTGTTTCCAACCATAGGATTTCCTTTTTCTTATCAGTAACTTCAGTCAAGTAGACAATTTCTTGGATGAAGAGATGTCTAGTTTAATTACCTAAAAGATAAATTATTTCTATAATTTAGTGTACATGTTTTTTAATGTGGAAAATGGTCTGGATATTTATAGAGTTGTGTACTCATCCCAAAATGTTCTGGGCAGTATTCAAATATTTGTGAAAGGAAACAATATTTCTTCTTCTTAAATTTTTTTCTTAGGGAATCCAGTTTCTTATAGAAAATGACCTGCTGCAGAACACTCCAGAAGACATTGCTCAGTTCCTCTACAAAGGGGAGGGACTAAATAAAACTGTAATTGGAGATTACCTTGGTGAAAGGTAAACTGCATTTTTTCTTGTTTTGTTATTTAGGATGCTTAAATATGTAGAGTTGCACTTTTTACCCTCTTACTTTCACTGTCTGCATGAGCTACATCCAAACTTGAGGAATATAAAAGTTATACTGGGAAGTAAAACCACTGTGCTATAAGAACCCTTTTTAAAAATTGAGGAATTATGAAACTATCCCACATTGCTGAACTGATTGCAATTCATTACTCTGAAAAATAAAATACAGTTTGAGATTTGTTCATAGTGCAAGATTTAATGCCAACTTCTGGAAGGCTTCGGAATCTTTTTTCAACAATCTTGTAGTAGACTTAATGGTCTGCCCAGACAAAGAATGCTTCGTGATGTCAATAACTAGATAATGAGAAAATTACTCATCATTCAAAAAGCGTCACCTAATGATGGTCAGCTGTTTTTATTTAGTGTTTTCTTCTTCCCTGCACATATATATCCTATTAATATTAATAACTCTTATATAGGCATCTATAGGGACAAATGCATCTTAGCTATTATTGTGAACAGCACAATAAATATGCAGATTATGACAGTTGTAGTACAGTTAGGGTTGCCAGGTGTCTGGTATTGAACCAGACAGTCTGGTATTTTTTGCCTCCTGTCCGGTTTAAAAAAAAATTCAGAAAATACCAGACATCTAAAATGTCCGGTATTTTCTGATTTTTTTTCTCAGACAGGAGGTGAAAACCCCGGGTGCTTACCCGGTTCCGCAGGGGAGCTGACCGGCCTGGCACAGGGAGGCAAGATGGCGGGCGGCCGCTGGTAGCCAATTAGGGCCAAAAAGCCTCAAAAGCATTTCTTAAAGGGGCCATGCTGTTTTTTTTATTCTTTTTGCTTAACAACTCTCAGGGTTTGTTCAACAACTTTGGTTTCCCTCTTTTTTTCCTCAACAGAATTTTTTCCCCAGTAATGTTTTGTTTTTGTTTTTTTTGTGGGGTGGGAGTGGCGGGTTCAGTATTTTTGATTAAACCATCTGGCAACCCTAAGTGCAGTGCAGAAAGTATTTATTTAAAAAAAATCAGCTACAAGATTATATTGCTGGTAAAACCTGTAAACTAATCTTTCTGATTGAAAAGACATAACTGTATTTTTTAAAATCAAAATCAGATGCCAGTTAAAGATTTATAGCCTAGTCAATTGGGCCCTACTTTTGTAAACTGATCTGCTCTGCCATATCCCCTTTAAGCACACATTCAATATGTGTACAGAATTGGGGTCTTAGTTTGCAGTTAGTGATAGCTCCCTAGGATTAAGTAAGTATAATGAAGTCTATACTGCAACAAAGTGCACAATATGGAGGAATTTCAGCTGTTTGTATAAATATGAGAACTTGACTTCCAAGGCACATTTCAAACATCTTTTTGAATATTTCAACTACAAGTAATGGAAAATGTAGATTTTTATAGATAGCTCTATAGATTCACTATGCATTATTAACTTAATCTTCATATTACAATGGAGTTTGTATAATGTCCTCGATGTGTCTTCTCTTTTAAGAAAAATGAATCACACATTGGCATCTGATCTTGAAATAATCTTTGTTGCCCTTTTCAGGGCCAGATTCTCAAATCTTTGGTTATACCACTAGTCCTTGTTTAAAGAGTCAGTATTACCACTGAAGTCAGTATGATTATTTGCATGAGTTTGCTGTATGCAGGATCATAGCAAACTAGTTCAATTTACAGTTTAAAAGATTATTTCCTAGCTCTTCCCGTCCCAGGCCTGCTAAAGCTACAGTCTTCATCCAGGATCTGAAAAAAAATCAAGCTGTTGTTGTGTTTGTTTCTTAGCTAATTAATCACTAAAATTTCATTGGTTTCAGTTATGGAAATCTACTGTGTCTACATAACTCAGTTTCTATCTGACTGAATTCTGAACAGTTAACTGCAGACTAATATAGTAACCAGCATTATAGATTTGACACTAATTTCTGAGTCGTAATTTGACATTTAGAGTGGCTCTTGTGGGCAGACGACCTACTGTATGCCTTTCTCCAGACTTTCTTGGTTCACAAGGTTTTTCTGAAAACTAAATTGGACAAAGCAAGAGTTATCCTGATAGCACTGGCGTGACCACACAAGCATTGGTTCGGCAGGCTCCTAAACCTCTCAGTGGCAGCTCCACTCTCTCTCCCACTCTGTCTGGATTTAATTTCATAAGACCATTGTTGGTTACTTCACCTGAACCTTGCCTCCCTGCACTTAACTGCATGAATGTTGCATGGCTGAACTCTGAAGAACAGCCCTGTTTGAAACAGGTTTGGCAGGTCTTGCTAGGTTGTAGAACGTCTTCCACCAGGACTATCTACTAGGCCAAATGGAAATGTTTCACTTGTTGGATGTCCAAATGGGTTGGAAAGATTGTATCCTCAGGTTTGCAAATTGACTGTCTCCCATGGCACTTAAATCTGGTCCTGTCAAAGCTCACAAGCCTTCCCTTTCAAGCACAATTCTCCTTGCTACTTTTCTCCTGAAAGATTGTCTTCCTGGTGGTGATTATCTCAGCCAGAAAGGTCTCTGAGATCAAGGGGTTGATTTTGAACCACCTTACCCGGTGTTCTTAAGGATAACGTCCAACCGCGCCCCTATCTGGCCTTTCTGCTAAAAGTGGCCTCAGAATTCCATAAGAAGCAGGTCATAGTCCTATCTTCTCAAAACCTCACAAGAACTTGAGGAATTATGGCTGGTTACTTTCTTACTTCCTTTTTATCTTTTGCATTAATAGGTAGCTCATTAACAATGCCATTCTTTAAGTTTACGGTTTGGCATATATATTATATCTCTGCCAAACTGAAGTTTCTATTTCATGCATCTGATGAAGTGAGCTCCTGTCTGCAAAAATTTATACAAAAAATTAATGTGTTAGTTTTAAAGATGCCACAGGACTCCTCACTGATTTATTCTGAAACAGAGTAACACTGATGCCCCTCTGATACTGGTGCAGTATAGTAAGTCTCTATTGTCATTTTGTTTTTTTCACCCTCAGAGATGAATTTAATATTAAAGTTCTTCAGGCTTTTGTTGAACTCCATGAGTTTGCTGATCTCAATCTTGTACAAGCCTTAAGGTGAGTGCATTCTAATTGAATTTATCAAACTTCATATTTAACTGAATCTAAGTATAGAGGTGGTGATGATTCACTCAAGCAGACGATCTTTGATTTGAATATATGATTACTCTGTATCTTGTTAGTAAACAAATCTTAGTGTTTCACTCTTTTGCTTGTTTGCATATTCATTGCCTTTGAACTCTAACACACAAAACTAATGATTTCACACAAATGCAAAGGGAGACCGACTAGTGTCAGATGCTTGCTGTGCATGCTATATCACTCACATGTGTAAATTTTCTCAGATAAGCAAAAGAGTCCCTGACTGTGAATTGGAAGTTAGGCTGTGTTGGAAAAAAAATATCATTAAAGCAAAGTATTTTTTACTTTTCAGCATCACCTTCCCACCACCTCAGAATTACATTCTTGCTATTTACTTAAGAAGAATAAATATGCTAACTTTTATTTTTTGTAAGATTGGCAGCAAGCAGATAGGTTAACATATGTATTGCTTGAATTCAGTTGTTAGTCTGGTGTAAATCCAGAATAAGCCCAATGATTTGTAGGGGTTTAGAGAGTGCTTTCAAATTTGCATCCAGAAGAGGCTCCTATCCCAAACCAAAGATATTAAAATGTAGGTATGGTCCTTCCTACACATGCTACATGGTCATGTGGTGAGTCAGAAGAACAACTTTATGCTGACTAAGGATTGAGGCAACTGCCTGAGGAATCAGGATGTCCTCTGACTCCATAGTTCTGTCTAGTATACACAATATTTCAATCTCCTCCTGCTCTTTATAGCAAACCTCAATCCACTCTTCCCCTGGCTGCTACTGTTGATAATGTTATTGTAGTAGCTCCCAAAAGCCCCAACCAAGACGAGCTCTCTTGTGTTGAGAGTTAAAAACAAAACCCTGCAGAATTTATAGACAATAGACTCTAAAGACAAGATACATCAGTTGGGTGTACCACACAGAATAAAAGGTGGCAAAGGCAAGGTACTGCAGACTGGAACACTTGGTTAATAAATGGCCAAGCAATATAGCTGTGGGCATGGCTTTTTTAAAAGATGCAGCTGTATGACAGATTTTAACTCTATCCAGAAATGCACACATTTGCAGTTATTTCCTATTGCTTTCCCCTACCATATCCAGTGGTTTGGGGCTAGTGGAAAGGAGACAAGCTTTGTACTTAGGAAAAGTCAAATAGTTTTTCAGGGGGCCTGCCTTCGCTTGATCTAATTGCCAATGGAAAGACTGCAATGTAAATCATGAGTAATTGAGAGCAGAAGTTGCCTAGAAAATGAAAATTCAATTTACATGCTTACCCACCACCCTTAGAGGCAGGGCTTCACCCTGTGTGCGTCTCAGTCCCTGTGCCTCAGGGCCAATAACTACACCCCGCCCCCATGAGGCAGTCCGGCTTAGTGGCCAGGATCAATAAAAACACCCACCTCTCAAAGGGTGGTGTGGCTCAGCAGTCAGCGTTGATATTCACTCCTTTCCTGGAGGGAAGTGAGGCCTACCGGCCAGAGTCAATAAAGCACTTACTTCCTTCAGGGCACTGAGTCCTAGCAGCCGTAGTCAATAATAACACTACTCCCTTCCTGCAGGGCAGTGAGGCCTGGTGGTCAAAGTCAGCGACGGTAATCACTTCCTGCCTTCAGAGCAGTGAGGACTGGTGGCCAGAGTCCAAGAATCAATATCAATGCCCCTTCACACACGGCAGGGTGCAACACTGCAGTTATGTTGTACCAAATCCATAAAGTTATCAAACACAAACAAACCACCACCAACTTATTTTCAGGCCTCCTGTGCCTAAAATGTTTCCTCTTCTTTTATAGTGACTTGTCTGAGAAGCTTTTGCTTTCACATGGTTTCTGCACCTAAAATATGCCGTAAGTGAATTTAGTACCTCAACGGTATCAAGGATAGAACTTCTGTTCTAAGAAAGATGTAAAGATTTTGAAATTTAGTCTCATTCCAAATTTCAGTGAAAACCAAAAAATTCAAAATTCTCCAAAGGAAAAATGCTTGTATAGAATTGTTTCAGGTTGTTCAGAATGCTTCATTTAGACAAACTGAAATATTTATTTCTATTCTGACTCTTTGACAGTATCAGAACTTCTTCCTGTTTTTTATTTGTTTTTGTAAACAAAATTTGGGCAAAATTGATTTGATTTTGTGTAGCATTTTGACAAAACTGCCCTACTTCAACAGAATATGGCTCCATCCAAGTTTCTCAGCCCATCTCTATGTAGAACATGTAGCAAGTGTTTGCTGGTTCTGAAGTGAAATTCTTCTTTTCATGCATTGAATAGTGCAGCATAGGTAGTACCAATCCTTCCTTTGGAAATAGTTCACTCTCTATGCCCACTCAACTCTGCATTCTCTTTGAGACTGCCAACAGGGGGCACATTTGTGCTGGGATATCTGTCCACCAAGAACAAGCTTTAGACCATTAAAATTAACTTAATTTATGCCATCAAATAATAATCTGAGGCAACTGCTGTCAGTCACTGCTTATCAGGAATAGTTTAGAACTGGTATCTTAAATATGAAAGGTTCTGTGACCCATTATAAATGTCCTAAGACACTCTGTTTTGCTTGAAAATACTCTTGGTCATCACTTTCATGAATTGGGAGATTAATGTTTAAAATGTCAACAGGGCATCCCTCCTGAAAGCAGATTCAGTTTCTCTCTGGAAGTGTTTTTAGACTGGCACCACTTTGTACCTAAACCTTGCTTTCTTTTTTTTTATTTCATTATTTTATGGATATTGATTTTAACTTGTCTCATATTGACTTCCTGTTTTATGAACATCAATTCGTTTCAATTGGCCAGCTTTGAAGAAGCAGAGCCACAAACAAGAGACTGTGCTAGCTGCCCTAACTTTGCCTGAGAGTTGTAGCTTTGATGATTGGACTTAAGAACACGAATAACAATTCCTAAATGGATATGCCAACAGGCAGTGTGAAAAACATTTTGTGGTACAGCACTTGCTAACGTAATTTTCCTATAAACTCTGCTAATGACAATATTGTTGTTCTGTTCATATACTTTATTAGTTTATCTTATTTTTATCACCATTTGTAATCTACAGTCTTTTTAATTTTATATCGGTTCTTGCAATAATTTTGCTTAATATTTTATTGCAGCTTTTTATCCCTGTCATTTCGATAAAGGGCAAGCCAAGAAGAAACAAAACCTACTCTTTTGTTTCATACTTATAATAGGAGCACTTATTTCCTGTATGTGAATTGCAGTGGTATTGAGAAGGCACATTTCCTTTTTCCAGTCAAGTATTCTCTCGCTATCCCAAAGCATTGACTCATTATGTCCTGTTCAAATGAATATACTGTACTGGGTTTTAGTCTGCTTTTTTGATTCTGGGTTATTGCATATAATACAGCTCTTTTTTCCCTTTCAACAAAATTCTGAGAAGAATATGTTCCTTTTAGCAGTGAAGATGGTCTCTGGTACAGCTGGTTAGAGAGCATGGCCTCCTACATACTTCCTGCTTTTGTCAATGTGGAAGAGGAGAGAATTGCAAAATTTGTACCAGAATACATGGTCTTACCAGACTACGTTATTTTGCCTGTGAGAATGCAGTTCTATTGGCTAAATGCGGAGTTAAATATTTTTTGAGATTTGTTTTAAAACAAACTTCTCATTTTATTTACAAATTTATTAATTTCTGCTTAGAAGCTGATTGTTGACAATATATGTCTAATGTATAAATATTGGAATGGGTCTAATTTTACTGAAGTGTTTTACACTTCCCTTTTGTAGGCAATTCCTGTGGAGTTTCAGACTTCCAGGAGAAGCTCAGAAAATTGATCGTATGATGGAAGCTTTTGCTTCACGCTATTGCCTTTGTAACCCTGGAGTCTTTCAGTCTACAGGTTAGTCATGATACATTTTCTATCAGGCTATGTCTAGACTGCAAGCCTCTTTCGAAAGAGGCTCTTTCGAAAGCATCTTTTGAAAGAGCCTCTTTCGAAAGAGAGCGTCTAGACTGCACGGAGAAATTTCGAAAAAGCGGCTTGCTTTTTCGAAAGAAAGCATCCAGTGAGTCTGGATGCTCTCTTTCTAAAAAGCCTGTTTGCTTTCAAGAACGCCTTCTTTCGAAAGAGCACTTTCAAAAGAAGGCGTTCTTCCTCGTGGAATTAGGTTTACCACCGTCGCGTTCTTTCGAATTAATTTCGAAAGAACGCGGCTTCAGTCTGGACGCAGGGGAAGTTTTTTCGAAAAAAGGCTACTTTTTTCGAAAAAACCCCTGAGTCTGGACACAGCCTCAGAATCACCTTTATTATATAATTTGTCAGATCGTGTGTTAAACTGCCTTAAATTCAAAGAGAAAGTGGCAAACTTGAAAGTCCAGATTAAGACAATAATGTGAAATGAAAAACCAGAGTGTTCTGTGGTGTGGAAAAAAAATAGGGTCTAATCCGGCACTCCTTATTTGTAAGTATGGAGGGATGCAAAATTGGATCAAAACCATCTTTCTTCCTAGTAGTGTTAAAAAAGTCATTTATATAAGCTGTTAATATAGTGCAATGGATCATACAAATGCTACCAAAGATCTGTAGTGAGTTGGGACAAACTGGACAGTAAATGTTATAGCAAAATGCTGCTGCATTAAAATAAGCAATATTTCTGAGATTCCCTGATTTTTTTGAGGAGGGGGGGACAACAATTTCTGCCAGTGCCGAATGCTATGCCACATTACCTATGTCTGAAGTATTAATGCAAAAGCAAAACATGTTTCAAAATAAAATTTGAGGGACTAATGTTAGGAGAATCACTTGGCAAAAAAGAGGAAAAAATAACTTAACATTTATACCTGGGCCTCTTGAAACAGATTTGCAAACCCAGCACTATGTCAGAGGAGCAGTGGGGGTGACTTACAACAAACTGTTTGAAGATAAAATGTGTGTCAATAAGCTTCGTGGTTTGTGCCACGAAAAAGTAAATACAAATTCTCACCTGATGGCATGTTTGAATGTTAACAGGTTAACTTGTGTTCTGAAGGAGCATTCAAAAGTTTTTTTTCCTTCCCCTAATCTGGATCCTTAGGACATTTTCTCTTTGTATACCTCCATTATATGTCTGTGGTCAGGGGAACCAGCAGACTTGGCAGACCCCTGGGGCTACATTTAGGCGTGAATTTGCATATCTTCTGATCCCTTTTTTGGAAGAGGTTTAAAAAAAAAAGCAGTCTAGATGGGGTTTTTCATGCAAAACCACCTTTTTTCGAAAGAACCTTGGAAACCTCATTTTTTGAGGAATAAGGGTTCTTTGGAAAAATCTAGACTGCTTTTTTTTTTTTTTTTTAAAAACCTCTTTTGAAAAAGGGTTCGGAAAAAGATATGCAGATTCACACCTAATTTGCATATCTTCTTTCAGAAGCTGAGGGTAGTCTAGACGTAGTCTGGGTAAGGTGGGTGGGTGGCTTCACTCCTCTAGGAAGAGAGGGACCTTGGCTGGAAGGGGTGGGTCTGGGGCAGCCAGCCCTCAGCATCACCCAGAGTGCACTGCGCTGTCCCCGCCAGCCAGCCCTTAGAGCCACTTGGTGCTCTGGTGGTGATTTCAAGGTCCCACGGCTTTAGCTGCTGCTCCTGCAGAAGCAGCAGCTGGGAGCTCCAGGCCCTTTTGAATCACTGGACCCTTAGGCAACTGCCCTCTTTGCTCCCCCTCCCCCAGTGGCCCTGTCCATGGTTCACACCAAAGAACTCAAGACTTACTCTTGTATGTAGCATTTTGTTGTTTGTCACACCCCCAAACCCAACATAATTCCCTTTCTTTGCTATTCAGAACTTGCTGGGGTATCTTTAAAAAGCAACTGATACATTATAGTACACAGAGCAATGATTCCTTTTCAATGTTGTTTCAGATACATGCTATGTGTTATCATTTGCGATCATTATGTTAAATACTAGTCTACACAACCATAATGTAAGAGATAAACCAACAGTGGAAAGATTTGTATCAATGAACCGTGGCATTAATGAAGGCGGGGACCTTCCAGAAGAACTGTTACAGGTAAGTTGCATTAAAATGACCAAGTGGCACCTTATGTTTTTTGAAGTGGGGCAACAAGAAGCAAGTGCAACAGTTCTAAGACTGATTTGTCAAATAGTGTGCGAATCATTTTCTCTGATGCAGTTTTGCCGTGGGCTTGCAATGTACAATCCTTGAGAGACTGAGAGGATGAAACAACTTGCTCCACTTAAGAAGCATCTTTTTGTACTTTTTGAGGAATGTTGATTGGATATATATCTCTACAGCCAGTCTCTCTTGACTGGAATCTGCTCCATCCTGCACAAGGTTGAATGTGGGGAGAATAAAGGGGAAAAATAGCAGGGATCACTGAGGAGCCAAAGGTGGCTGTCATGACATGCTGTGGAAGAAAAATTACAATGCAAAGATGTCAGACATTTGATTGAGATTTTCAAGTTAGTGATGTCTAATACTTTTTAAAAACAAATGTATTTAGTGAAGCTTGTATTGAACAAAACTGTTGAAAATCTGAAAGCTCTGGAAAAAATAAGAGCCAAACTTCTTAAGAAAAGCTTTTTATTGAGAAGTACCCAGGAAATCTTCAAAAGAGGATATTTATTTGCAAGCAATGATATCTGCTTTTAACTTATTTGTAGACTATGGTGAAATGCTGCTTAGAGGAGGTTTGGTTCCAGTTCCTGTGGGAGATGTTCTTCATTTTTTTATGTACATAGTCTGGAAAGAGAGAACAAAATCTCTTGGATAGCTGTAATGTACATATTGCTGAATGTTTTTGTTTTCTTCCAGAATTTGTATGAAAGTATTAAAAATGAGCCATTTAAAATTCCAGAAGATGATGGGAATGATCTAACGCATACATTTTTTAATCCAGATAGAGAAGGTTGGCTACTGAAATTAGGTTAGTAGAAGAGTAATTTCAATGATACTTTGCTTTGTGTGTTGGTGATGTGTGTGCCACTTCCCTTGCTACCTGCTTTATTGCAAATCTAATGGGATTAAATTAGTAAAATAATTCCTGCTTAAAAACATAAGATTTGAAAACCAGTTACTCCTTTATACCGGTTTGTGTAATTGCTAATTCTGTGAAGTCTAAAAAGAAGTAATCTTGTCACTTGAATTTTGAAGTGGACTTTTATTTCTGATACTTGAGAACTGAAACTTCAGCAGCAGGAAGGAAGCTCTGCTTACAGTTACAAATGCCAGTGACTGAAAAATAACAAATTTATGTGAAACTTTTCCAGAAAACTGTACAGCAGCTTCAGCTCAGTTTTCTGCATAAAAAGCAATGCTTTTATTTTCAAATAGTTGTTTTTGTGTCTCTTTATTTTTCCATATTATTTGTGAGTTTCTGTTGGTTTGGTTTTGGCTATGATTTTAATGAGTGGTTTAAATGTGCCTTCTTGTTTTCCTTATGGCCTATGACCTATCACCTTTCTGTTCTGTGACTGGCTGTCTCTGCTTATTCTGCATTAGGAGGTACGTACCTGATGGCTTTCCAACACCTCCCCCCACTTGTTCAGTTGCTCATTCTTTTTTTATTTTTCTTCTTCTTTGTTTCTTAAATCAAATTTATTGTAGCTCTACACTTCTCACATAATGACACTAACTTTATCCCCAATAGGACTCTACTCATACATAATTTCTGCTTATACATTTTGGTGTTTGTAATTTATTCTCTTCCCACCATGAGTTTCTTCTACAAAAGAATATATACTTTGTCAAGCAACGCAGTTATAGTTATTGTTTTAGATTGCTCTGTAGCATCCTTCAGGCTCACTGAGATACAAATGTGAGGAGTACTTTACACAGCACAGAAGTGCAGTTGTCTTATCTTGTAATATATGGTCTTGAACAGGAGTGGGCAATAATTTTTGATGGGGGGGGCACTCCAAGATTTTGGAAATTGGTCAAAGGCCGCACTTTTCTGTGAGGGGGGTGCAGGGTCTAGGATGGAGGCTGGGTTCAGAAGGGCACACAGGGTAAGGGATTGGGGTGCAGGAGACGGTGTGAGGTCTGAGAGGGAGTTTGGGTGAAGGAGGGGGTTATGACCTGGGTCAGTTGATTGGGGCGCAGGAGAGGATTCTGGACTGGGGGAAAGGTGTAGGAGGAGGTACGGGGTCTGGGAGGGAATTGTGACTGGGGGCAGGGAGGTGCAGAGGGTTTGGAAGATGACCTGGGGAAGGGTGCGGGAGGGGCAGGGGTGCAGGAGAGGCAGGGGTGCCAGAGTCAGGTTCTGGCTGGGAGGCGCTTACCTGAGCGTCTACTGGACAGCATCCCCAAGGCAAACTGGGCTCCCTGACGGCTGCAGCCCCAGATCACTTAGAGCTGCGGACTATTCCCTCCATGTGGCTCTCAGCTCAAAGAGGGGAAAAGGCTTGTGCTTCCCTCATATTCCAGGCCAATCTCTCAGCTCATATTGGCTGGTTGTTTCCGGCCAATAGGAGCTGAGGATTGGGCTGGGGGCAGGGAGATCACACACAGGCTCCCCCTCCATCCAGAGCAGAGAGCTGCCAGAATGTGCTTGAAATCCACCGCAGCTGTGTGTCTACGGGTCTCGGCAGGGTGGTCTGTGGGCTGAATCCAATGGCTTTGTGGGCTGGATCTGGCCCCCAGGCTGTATTTTGCCCAGCTTTCATATGATGGTTTTATGTTACTGTTTTTAAGTCATAGGAACTGATGTGAAAATATCTGTGGATTGTAGGTAGATATATTAATATTGCTATCACTCTATTATATTGTCCTATCCATAGTCAGTAAATTCACTCAGTTGAATATACTTTGTTACTTATACAAAAAGTTTGTCAGAATGTTGAATGGCTTATTTTAATCAAAATAGAACATAGCTGAAGTTAGCATGTGCTAAACAGGCAAGTTATTCCATAATAACTTTCTTGTGTGGGTTTTTTAATATAGTTAGTTTATTTTAACTACATATAAAGGCACCTCAGAGTACATGCTTCTGAAGCTTCTAAGCTGCTCTGACTTTGTTTGTCAATGCTTTTGGAAGTGATGTGGCTTGCTTATCTGTTTGAGTTTAATGAGGCAGCCAGCCATACAGGGTAGCCACTTCTCTGATTAGAACAGACTCTAAAATTTGGTTCTCTTTTTTTTTTAATTTGTGTGTTGTTTTAAAACACTGGCTTAAAGACCAAAAACTACACCATTTCAGAGCCAGCCTCTGGCTGCTCTTGTGCAAGAGGAACTTTGTGCCAGCTGAAGCAGCCAGGACCCTGATGATCCCTGAGTGCAAGGTCAGTAGGAATTAAAGAGCAGTCAGCAGCACTAGGCAGAGGGGAAGTACACTAAAGTCACAGAAGGGCCCATCTTCCATTCTCACTAGAAGTTGGGGGCTGAAGAAATACGAGGGTCAAGACACTTTTAGGGGCTGTTCAAGAGCACTGGACCTGTGAATCCATGAGAGCTGGTTGTGGCACCTGGAAAAAGTTGTAACAATGATAGCTACTGCATGTGCTTCCCCAGTCTCTGTCCTCTGTAGGCAGAATGGCTCCAGCCACGACAGCTGGTAGGTCTCATGTGCTGGTTTTATGTGACTGTTTTTAAGTCCTAGGAACTGATGTGAAAATATCTGTGGATTGTAGGTAGATATATTAATATTGCTATCACTCTATTATATTGTCCTATCCATAGTAAATTCACTCAGTTGTTCAACTCCCTACTTCTGCGCTAGTGACAACCAAATGAAGAGAAGAGTGCGTTGGCACAAGTGCTTTGGCAGTGTCTATTTATTAAGAATATATTCTAATAAGCGCAGCAGCAGGAGCCACCTTACGAAATACTGTAGCTTAGAGGGGACAGCTATTGGAGACATCACCAGTTAGCAAATTCAGGACCTCATAGCGTCAGGTGTTAAGCACCTTTAATTTCTGTTGACTTCCATGGGAGCTAGAGGTGCTTGGCCCCACTTGCAATGAGACCCTTAGAATACTGTCCTGGGAGCAAGGGCTGCAGAGGGCCATTTAAAGTGGGGGAGGGCATAAATTTGCCCTCCTCACCTGAGCCCTCTATTTTCCTCACAGGTGTCTCCTCCCTTCTGTATGAGTCCCGATACACACTCCGTGTAATTTGAGTAAGCAGCATTGCAAGCTGATGTGTGGAGTTATAGCACCTGTCAGGTTTGGCCTGGGCAAAAAGTGGTTGGACTTTAGTTTGTGTGGCTTCCCACAGCTATGTGGCCTATAGCCAGGAGTCTTGCTGTTTGCTTGTCTCCATTACTTCATCTGCAGATGTTGAGAAATTGCAAAATCCTTAAATACCCTCATTGTGTTCCTAAGTAAAAAAGCAGAGTTTCTTCCTGTTGATGTTTGAAGACATAAATGGCTTAACAGGCACAGTATTCATAGTTGAGACAGTTTAAAATATTACTTGAAGAGCTGATACATTATATGTTCCACAGTATGTGGCAGTGCTCACCTCAGCTGAAAAGATTTCTTAAGACAAGACTTCAAGAACTAGAAATATTTTAGCACAAAAAAATCCAGATAAGTCTGTTACCACTCAGAGCATTTTTAATATTCTCTACAGTTTTTAAAATCTAAAACTTTTGATGAAGTTTTTTAATATACAGAGTACAAATATCTACTTGCACATACTACGATGCAATAACATACGATGCAATAACTTTGCCCTGACTGGTTGTGACATTAATTTACAGTAACTTACCTATCATTTGTATGTGCTCACTAAACAAGCAGTCCTACCAGAGTATCAGTGATGACAGCGTGCATTAATCAGTATCAGTAGTTTTCCTGTAAATCAGACTGTGTGTGTGTGTGTGTATGTGTATGTGTGTGTGTGTGTATAGATAGATATATATATGGCTTACTGTTCTTTGAAAGACTGAGTTTCATCAATAGAGACAGACTGGTGTAGATAAATATTTTTACTAAGTTAAATGAGCTGTGGAGCCATGAATGCTGTGACCAGAAATAAACCTGGTGATTTTTTTTTTCTTTTATCCCTTCAGTTTTCTCATTGCCAGGAAGCTTGACCAATATATTAGTACGATGTATGGATATATTCTGACTCTGAGTATTAAAGTAGTGTTAAGTCATGTTCTCTCTTAGCACACTGTGTTATTCCTAAGTTAGGGATAGGGTTGCCAGAAGTCCGGTATTGACCCGGACAGTCCGGTATTTTTGCCTCCTGTCCAGTAAAAAAAAATTCAGAAAATACTGGACACCTGGCAACCCTATGACACGCAGCAATTGGGCCCAGCCCTCGGTCCCCTCCCCCGCTTACCTGGTTCCACAGGGGCTTGTCTTGTGGTTAAAACAGAAAAACAAAATGGCCGCTGGCAAAAAAGCCTCTTCTTAAAGGGGCCATGCTGATTTTTTATTTTTATTTTTTTGGCTTAACTGCGGTCAGGGTCCCTTTTCTTTCTCAGAAACTTTGGTCTCCCCCCTTTTTTTTTCTCAACAGAATTTTTTTCCCAGTAGTTTTTTTTTGTTGTTGTTCAGCTTGTTCAGTATTTTTGCTTAAACCATTTGGCAATCCTAATTAGGGAGGCTCTGCTTAAAGATGGATTTGAATACTCAAATATTCATTATCAAAATACAAAGGAGTCTTGATTCATACGAGTAGGAAAAAATGAAGAAGATCAATAGTGCTGTTATTTGCTTTATACTTGAAGATAGAAAAGACATTTTTGTGAAAATAAGAACATGAAGAAGCCACAGGTATATCAAGCTAGTGCTTTCTGATTTGCCTTGTTATAGTGTCTGCTTTCTCATTTTCTTTCATTTAGAACTGCTCAGTTTGCTACTCTCTCCAGGAGCATGATTTTTCTTGTTAGTAATTTTTTATAGTTCATTTGCCCAAAACCTCCAAGGTTTCCAAGGGCTGGTCTAGCTCCTAAGCCATCCTAATAATGTCATTGAA